TACCAAACTCCGACTCTGACAAATCTAAATCTTGGATCCATACCTGGATCCAGATAGGATCCAACATTCGGATTTCAGATCCAAACCGAGTAAATTCTCAACCCTAGTCTAAGAGTTGACTTTGAGGGAGGAGTCTAGGATATGATCCCGAGGAAGCATTAGATCTTTTATCTAACATTTTTATATATAGGTTATGGTTGCAATTTTCAGAATTTTCTATTTCCCTCAATACTTGACATCATAATAACTAGTCACGAATGGTGTATAGCAACTAGTGTTCACAAAATTGAATTGAAATGGTTAACTGGACATGGGGCTAGGAGCGGTTAGAATCGGAACTGAACTAACAGGTCCGGTAGAATTTTTTTTATAAAAAATAGATCAAAAAACCCCAAAAAATAAAAAATTTTAAAAAAGAAAAAAAACATATATTTAGTGTATGTTATCTTATTATCTACATTTATATTTTAAAGAAAAATTGAAATAATTTTTATATAAATTAATACATGAATACCTGTCATTCACGTATTTCAAGTTCCTCAAGTCATTGTATCTAGCACTCCTACCAAAACACCTTCTTCTGACCAGCTACCAAAAACATTTCTGAGACTCAAAAACATTTTTTGTTATATCCATACATCTCGAGGTCAAGATGATCAAGTAGGGGGTTTTCAACATTAAAACAACCTTTCTAATAGATTTTTGAGGTGCATATGTAATTCTACATTTTAAGGTTGCAACCTTACATAAACGTTTTCCTTATATAATAATTAAATAAGAGAAAATAAAATTCAAGATAGAGAAAGATAGGCATACCATATCGAAGATTGAGTTTTCATTTTTAATGAGCGAGAGAGATTTCCATATCAATTATTATCTCCACATTGTTTCCATATCTTAATTTGAGAGAGAGAGACGACATTCATTTCATATCTTAATGAGAGATTTCCATTAAGAGAGGCACAAGAGAGAGATTTCCATATCCTCCTTATCTCAACATTGTTTCGTCCAATTCTTTTTAAAACCTCCTAAAGTTGGTAACTATTAGAACCTGTAACTTTTTTTTTGTTTTTGTTTATCCATCCCTTTCCTAAAAGTTGTACATGCAAGTCATACCTAAAATATTTTCCCCTATTTTTTGGTTCAAACCTCTTAAAATGGGTACCTACCCCAACTCAACCCCTATTGTGCCCAATAATCACGAGAGAGAGAGAAAGTATCGACAATCTAAAATATGAGAAATATGAAAATTTAACCTTTTTTATTATAATAATATAGGAAAGAGCAATAAAATTTATCTTATTATATATTTATATATATATATATATATGAAAAATCTTCTCAATGCCTATAGGTGAAAATACCATGTTAGTGAACCCAGGTGGAATTGTCATATATACCTCTTCATGTAAATCGCCATGTAAAAAAGCGTTATTTACATAGAGTGGATGAAGATTCCAATTGTCAGATACCATGTTAGTGAAGAAATTAGTAATTGAAGAATTGTTTCATATTGTTCACTTTAATAATAGTTTGTGTACAGAATATACACCGGATAGTAATAACATAAATATCTAATGGTAAAGAAGACTAAGTCTTGAGTTTGAATGGTTGTTGGATGAAGTAACGATGTATATCCATAATATATATCTAAGTGAAATGGTTCTTGAATGAGGTGATAATGTATACCATATATATATATCAATGTATATCCATAATACATTGGCACCTTATTTGAACCAAATATAGGTCAGTCACTTAGCAGCACAACCACAACTAGGGGGTAGAGTTTTGTGTGATTGATGGAAATCAATGTCAATTAACGCGAGGAGACATTGTCATGGCACAAGATTCTCTTCGAGATCGCTTCTTCATTCTTCATTCAATGGGATGGACAATTCTAGAAGATTATACAAAAGCCCGAGTTGGGAGTTCTCCAAAGCTTCTAACCATGTACCTAGTCCCCTTCTTGGACAAAAGACCCAGAATTTAAAGCTATTTAATACCCTAAACTAGTCATATTAGACACCTCTGAGCCTAATAAATATAGAAGACTAATCCGTACACCAAACCGACATATAAAAAACTAAAAACTAATGCCCTAAATTCCCAATGTTTTATACCCTTAAAAACTCATTCAAATCAAATTAAACTTGATTCCAAATAATAAAGAAGATTGTAAGCTTTCGAAGGCTCCAAAAATCATTCAAATCTAACATATAGTTATGGCCTAAAAAAGTTTGTCAGAAAAATTTCATTTTCGTCCCTGCACAACTCTACACGGGTTGCGTGGTTGAACCCATGACTCGCGGCGCATCATGAACATTTTTAGGGTCATAAAAATTGTCCAAACTATTCTCGAATCTTCTGAAACTTGGCTTATGGGATGCTTTGGGTCGGATTTTGGACCGTTTTGGCATTTGAAATACTAGGAATTCAAGCAATTATTATTTGAAAGATGCCCTAGATCCAAGGCTATATAAAGCCCCTTCCCTTCAGAAAGTCATCTAAATAATTCCAAAATCCTTAAAAAATCCTAGATCATCAAATAGAAAATCCCCTTAAAAGTTAGGAAACCCAAAAAATTAGTAAAATAACCTAAAAACCTTAAAAAATTAGAAAAATCCCTACAACCTAAAAAATATAGGAAAATTTAAGGCAAATCCTTAAAAATTCCCTCTAGCCTAAAAACCTAGATCAAGAAACCTCAAAAAAAGCTAAATTAGAAGATCTTAATTCTCTACAAGACTGATTTCCAACAAAAAAATCTCTAAAAATTCCCTACTTCAAAACCCTTGGAATAGGATCCCTAAATCCCTTTCATGCCCATTCTTCAAGGCAAAAGAGAAGGCACAAAGTTGTAAGCAACTGGGGTTCTCATGCAAGCCCTAACTCTATGTTTCGGATTTTCAAGCATGTATTTCACCTTTTTTTTTATTTGATTATTTAATTTTCTATTTTACTCTATTTTCCTTTCGCTTAACTTATTAAATCTTGATTTTAAATATTAATTCGCTGTGAACACTCAGCTAGCACTACCGACTATTCTAAAAGAGGCCCGGATCCATATGGATCTAAACTTGTTTTAGACTCGTAATTTGACCAATCCCCACGATTGTTATCGATCTCAACTTTAATCGCTTTGAGCACAAATTAGAGCAGATCTCATTCGAGGTCTTGCAGATTTGGCATGCAAACAATATAGTAATTATCGTAAAGAAAAGTAGTAATTGCCTTTACCACCTTGACTCAACTTTTTTTTAGCAACTTGATTCAAAATTCTTTACCACCACCCCCAACCAATTGTTTTATTGTAACTTTGACCTCAAAACAAAGTTTTGTAGTAAATACCTCCAAGTTAAAAAGTCATAGTTCTTTGGATCTAAGTGCCCACCCCTTGGTTGTTGAATGTTGGATCTAAATGCCCACCTCTGTAAATGTGGTCTAGCAGATTGGTGCCACGGTCCGACAATTATGATGCCTCAGTCCAGCACTAGTAATGTGGTTTGACATATTGTTGCTAAGGTCCGGCAGCTTTGTTAGTCCCGTGCGATGATGCCTCGGTCAGGCATAGAGGTCTAGTAGCTTTGTTAGTCCAGTGCGATGACGCCTCGGTCAGGCATAGAGGTCCGGTGGTTTTGTTAGTCCAGTGCGATGATGCCTCAGTCAGGCATAAGTTGCATGCGGTCCGACTGATTGTTATTGTTCCCCAGCAGTTACTATGTTATGCTTCCGGTCTGGCAGTAATGTGGGTCGGACCGTCTTTGGTAATTGAGCTCTAAGGACATGTGGTGCCTTTATGTATGACCAAGGGTATTTTCGTCGTTCAAATTATGACATTTTGAATTGGGGAATCTTTATTATAAAAGTTAAGTTTGGGGTAAAAATTGTGATAAAAAAATTGATTGGGGGGAAGTGGTATAGAAAGTTGAGTCAAGAAGGGCTTTTATAATTTTCCCTTGCTTATAATGCAAAGAGGTCGTAATCACGATCAATTGTTAGATGGTGAAATTAGACGGTTGGAGGTGTTCTACTAACTATTTTAAAAATTCAAAAAGGATTTTTTCAAACATTCACCCCCATGCTGGCTTATATGACATCTGCTACTAATAGAAGGCCTTCATGTATTGAGTGTAAACAATACTATACACAATTCTTTTCAATCTCATTAAGAATAATGATACCCTTCCGCTCTCATATCGTTGAAACAAAGTCTAGATCACTCCTAATGAAAAACCATAATGGGTTTCAATATTATGAGACCATTTACCATTGTTATAAGGATGTACCAATTACTACTAGCTATTAGATATCAAATTGAATAACTTGGGATATATTAGGAAGTTCGAGAAATTTTTTTCAAACTTTGGATTTAGTCAATACACTTATAACCACTTGATTTAAAATCAGACGAACTAGAGTGATGGTGACCTTCTTATACTAAAAGTAAACAATCTCTTTGTATAGTTTTCTGAATTACATTATGAGACTTTACCAGAAATGACATATTCACTGGAAAGAGAGACGTAGAGAGAAGAACAAGTCATAAGTTTGGAATCCAAAGCCTCTAGGTGCTTTATTTAGCAACACAAAAGACAGTCCTTATCATTTTCCTTTGCAAAGGAATCCAAAGCCTCCAAGTGCTTTATTTAGCAAACACTTATTACCGTTCTTATCATTTTCCTTGCCAAAGGCCGCGTGTCCAACATGCGTATGTAACGCTCTCTCTGTCCACAACAAACTACGCCCCTCTCTCCTATATAAATATATAAATTTGGAGAACTCTCTCCCTCATGGCCCACGAAACACATTCATAAAACCAGCCTGTTTGCTTTGTAATCTTTACAAACATGAACATGGACAAACTGCCTCTTGCATGTGTACTGCTTCTCCTCATGGTAAATCATCCTTTGCATATTCAAAATCAAGATTACTATAGAGCATTAAGATTTCTTTTTTTTTTTTTTTTTTTCTTTAGTAACATTTTAGTTGCATCCTTATTACGTTCGGCTTCGTTGTATACTTGTCGGTTTATTGCTTTGGACGGCGGAAGTCAACGATTCGAATCGTTTGAGTTTGTCCCAGAAAGCTCAAAGAAGCAAGCTTAACTTTTTTTTATCTAATATGAATCGTGGTTCCCACGGTTTCTAAAACATACACCAATGTAATATGACAGTGGATTGCACTACGACTATGCTTTACTATACGCTTCAATGTTTTCTCACTTCTTGTTGTCCACTACTTGCAGGGAACACTAAACCTGTACAACGTACTGGCAACACCTGAGAGCTACTGGGAACAAGTGTTCCCGAAAACTGCAATACCCGATTTTATTCGTGCCCGTCTTCATCCCATACCTATAGGAGTGGTGCCTATGACTGCAGACAATCGAGATCCGCGATTCTTCTATCCTGACTCCTCACATAAGCGTGACCCTAGGCAAACCACATTCTTCTTAGAGGAGGAGCTGAAAGTTGGAATGAACAGAGTTCTTTACTTTCCTAAATCCGACTTTGCGTATGCCGCACCTTTCCTTGCTCGTGAGATCGCAGATGCCATACTCTTCTCACCAGCCGAACTTCCACAAATCCTAAAGCGCTTCTCATTGCCTACTGCCTCTGTTGAGGCTAATGCAGTGCGTGAAACCTTAGCATGGTGTGAATCTCTAAGAGGCAAGGCTCAATGCCTAACCTCTTTAGAGGCTTTAACTGACTATGCAACTCGATCCACTATGGACCGCAGCATTACCACGCTCCACACTCATATCGACAAGGATTCTGGGCTCCAAGCTTACACCGTGAAGCGAGTGGAGCACAAGGTTGCGACGCCTGTACTACTGCCACCATGTTGGTGAGGGCAAAATATATGAGGTGAGGTTGGAAGGAGAAGATAAGAGCATAGTGGAAGCGATTGCAGCCTGCCACTCAAACACTAGGACTTGGCACCCACATTCATTTGCTGCTCTTCCCGCAGGGGTGAAGGCGGATCACAGTTTTGCTTGCCATTTCTTACCTGACGCCCAATTGTATGGGCCTAAGTCCCTGAACCTTGATTGGAATAATTAATCCGCTTATTATGGTTGGCGTAGCAATCATGTATGAGATGGATGGCTTTTAATTAAATTCTTGTTATGCGCAGTTTGCCAATTTGCTTCTTGGTTTCCTTTTTTTTCCCTTT